CCCCCCGGTCCTGAACTAAAGAAAATAACTGACTGACAGGACTGTGTCATAATGTCATCCCAGTCAGAAATCTGGAACCCTGGTAGTTCTTGATACCAACTAACCTACAGGTTAGCTTGGGAAGAGCGAGACAACTGAGTGCCTCTAAAACTTTCGCTCACTTGGTACAACTTACTTATGATGTGTGTGTGCCTAATCCACACTGAACTTTCTTCATTTAGTTTGTCCTTATTTTCGGTTTGGAGAGATTGCTTTTTTTTTTTTTTTTCAAATCTGGAGATTCCATTTTCTTTTTCGTAACCGCTGTTTTCAGATAAATCGTGTTCAGTTTAACACTTTGCAGTCACACAGCCAGCAGTACAAAATACCCCATCTGGTCACCCAGCCAGGAGAGTGACTGCAACGGACTTCTCGGGCCTAACACAGTTCAACTGCACCAGGTGACCGGAACGGAATAATTTTCACCGTAGCATTATTGCGTCAAGTGACCGCAAAGTGTAAAGGAGGACTCCAGCGTTAATTTCAATTGTTTAGTTTTAGTTTTAGTAGAGCTATTACGGAGCTCGCAACTGCAAAAGGTCATATGAGCGCCAAACATAAAAAAGATGGGGAGATAAGGACAATAGATGTTTGATAGGAAAGAAGAAGAAAAACCACACCAGAGCACCCGCCAACCATCCACAATGCCGATTGCGACCTAACAGAACGAAAGAGAGCGTAATATGAAAACAAAACTTACAGACTCCACAGCAAACCGGTCCATGAAGTGTCCCATCATTGGGAGATGGTATTCCTGCCAAAACAGAATGAATACATCTTAGAACAGCATTTTTTTCACAGAACACACACAGCTAATGCAGAATTATATTTTTTCAGAAGAACACGCACAATTTATGCAGAATTATATTTTTTCCGAGAACACGTACATCTTATTCAGAATCGTACTTTTTGAAAGAACATTAGCACCTTATTCAGAATTGTATCTGTTCACAAAAAATGTACATCAAAATTGTTTTTTCATAGAAAACGAACATCTTGTTTAGAATCACATTTTTCACTCTATTTACCAGTCTTCAATCAAAGTAAATCCATAAATAAACACCCACATTTTTTAAAAAACACAACCCCTTGCTGGAGATAAAGGGGTTAACTGAATACTTTTACTTTACTTTTCCGATCCAGCGACCATCTGGGTTCTAGCCCTTCGGCTTGTCGATATTGCAAAGAATTTACTGACAGATTTTTAGTTAACTAGACACAAACAGATCAATCTAAATATATCTTTTCTTAAATCCTCCGAGCTACTGACATAGTCGAGACGAGGATGCGAGCGTTCCATCCCGGCTTGAAGGTTGAGGGGCATGGGTACCTGGCGGAGACTGGGGTAGGGCATCACAACATCTGTCCACTGGGGAGGGGAAAAGGACATAAAGACATTATTGCAAATCACTACCCTAGAACTACAAAGGAGGAAAAGAATTACAGGGGAGGAGGGGGGGGGCAGGGGTGAAAGGGTGATGAGGTGGAGGAGGGAGGAGATGAAAATCGTAAGAAGTGCTGAAGCTTCTTCCCTTCCCATGTTGATCTAGTGGTTTGTCCTTGGTTTTGTTTCACAGAAAAAAACCAACTGATTGAGACTTACACACTTTGTGGTATTACCCCCTCCCACCCTCCTCACCTTCCCCCACCCCAATCTCTCGATATTTCTCTCTCCCTATCCTTCTCTCTCTCTCTCTCTCTCTCTCTCTCTCTCTCTCTCTCTCTCTC